CTAGCCAACGAAGGAAACTATATTTATCTATATTGAACTCTCAAAAATACGGGTATGAAGTCTCAGAATTTGGTCGTTAGTTTGTTGAATAAATTAACGATAAAAATAATTGGCGCAATGTCTGTCGCGATCCACCGTACACGGGAGAGAAATTTTCTAGAAAAATTCTAGTACGAGTACTGGAAAAAATCAGAATCCACCGGCTGTGAAAAATTCTAGTGCTGTTAAGGTAAAATTTCTTGGTATTTCTGATAAAATTTCTGGGGATTTCTGTAAAATTTTCACAGAAATACGAGGAAAAATTCACGTTTTCCCGAATAAAATTTCTAGTGCCGGCACTGGAATTTTTTCCTGGCCATCACTTTGCGCCTCTTTTCCCATGCTAGCACGAATTTTTCCAAAAAATTTCTCTCCGTGTACGCCATGTTTGATGTTTCGTCTCTTTCGCAAATAACCTCACTAACTTAAGAATTTTACGCTCCGGTCAGCCGCGCGCCCATTCGTTTTGCCCTACTGAAGAGACTTATCTTAATATCACACGACCCACTTCTTCAGCCAAATGTAGCATGACCTCATCCTTTTATTTCAAACTTTTCATCTGACGCCCTTTCATTACACCGTTTCTCCTGTTAGATCTAATATTCCTCTTTTCAATGAATTATTTATAATTATTCTCATTGCCAGAAGTAATATGTTCGATGAGAATCACATGTCCCAATTTATCAGCTGTTAAATTTGCATATTACATTAAATGATTTGCTTACGTTTCAATTCCTTTTCCACTGATAGAAAAAATTAATTTTATCAAGAGAATTTTATTTGACCCAACTATCATTTAGTTGTTAATTTTCAAATAAACATGATTTCATAGTGAAAACCAGTTCTCTTCTTAAGATACATTTGATTGAGAGGAATAAATCTTCTCTAGAATTGAAGTTCATTTTACGTGTCGCAATAATGAGAGTATTTGATTTCTTTCTAGCCAGAAGTTTGCTAACTCCAGAAATTCGTTGGTTTACTCAACAATCAAAATTATTCTCATGACTAAATACGTTGTTATCTCAATCAACACGATCATACGTTGTTCCAAGTAAATTATAATTGAAGACAACATTTCGTATGTCGAGTCAGAATGAATATTGGCACGCGGAAAAAGCTTTGAGATTGTAGTAAGATGTCGTTGAGTTGAAAGAAGTTTATATTTCTTGACTAAAAAAAATCGCATTAGTTTACAATAACAGAATCATAGATTACGGCAATTCAACACAAACTTGACGAAAAGCTCAATTTAAACATCGGCTTCATTCAAGAAACCAACATTCAATTCATTCTTCAACGTAGTCATCTCCTAGGTACAAATTTTTGATCAATTCATGAAAGTAGAAAATTTCTCGACTGGAGATTATATTAGGTTTAAAAAAATCGAACTTTTCCATTTTTGCGGTGAATACATGTGCCTTGACGCCAAGGACTGTTTTATTCCATTCAAGTAAATTCATCTCACAAAGAAATAATTGATATAAACCGTAAGATCCTATTTATTTGAAATTGGTTCAAGTATATAATACTTGTTCCAACAAAGAAACATCTCAATAAACATAATTTTTATCTACCAGTGCAGAATACACTTTTTGTTCAAATCTGTAATCAGCTTTATTCAAAGAAAATCTTATATTAGTAAACCCAATGTTAAGAAAGTGGAATTATTCTATTTTCCTCTGGTCTAAATTATTAGAACAATTATCATTCGTTAATTCATTTTTGGTACACTGATAGAATGATTCATTTATTCCAAACGAGATTCGTTAACTATGAACGAATGGTAGAGTTGAATATGACCAAATGAATATTCCTTAATAGTTAACGAATGGTTCACTTGAATGGCGAAAGTCAAGTCAAACAAAGCTCAAATATACATTCGTTAAGTATTAACGAACAAACATTTGGTGGAACCGAATAGACCCTAACCTCCAACCAAAATCCATTCGTTAACAATAACTAATCCGTTCTATCCGTGCTTATTAGGCCAGCTTCATGAAAATTCGGCGCAAGACGATTGTACTCATGAAAACCGCCTTGCTTTCTCCATTCGTTCGAGAAATCCGCCATTCTTGAGTTCTCATTGTCAACTCGAGATATTGCCCATGCTTCTTTTCAGAAAGCCTGTAACTTGAAATTTCAGAATGCATAATCATAAGATGTCCAGGAGTCGTGTAATAATAAAGCTTGCGGTGTGCGGGGCATGAGTGGTGGAACGAACGTGAGGACCACACAATGGCAATGTTTACGGGTCGATCGATGCTCCCGGTTTCTGCGGCCATGTTGGGTAACCCCACCTTCTGGTTATCTCCTTGCGAGGCACCGGATTGCGATAAAAATAAAGAAGAAAAAAGCAACCATTGGACACAACACAAAGGAACAAAACACGAATCGCTCCGAGACCCCTTAAAGATCGACTAACGAACTTGTTGACTGAGATACAGATACTTTTGTGTACCTACACGTACTGTATATTCAAAGGATTGATTCGAGGAGTACAAAAGGAGTAATACGTATTCTGTAATCGTCGGATCTATGATATTTATCTCGGACATTCTTTTCTAGACAAAGTGACATGGTTTGACTGATTATTGCGTGGGTGGATGTTCCTCGGAGATGAAGGTGTAACGAATGCACAAATGTCTATTTTGAAATATCAAGATAATATTTGAAGGCATGAAGACAGTGGAGCTCTCGATATTCGGGCTATTTCCGCGGAAAATCGTTATGATCGTCACCCGAAAATCTGATTTAACCTCAACTAAGTCAATTCTGATGAAACCTTCGGCCCGTTAGCTTCTGATTTATCGCTTCTCCGCATTCTCGTCCAGAATGAACATGCCATTGACATAATTTACCTCCAAATATTCGATTCGTCTTTCTTCTCAATCGAGAACACAAAGTTGCAGAACATCTGCGCTCAGAGCGACCTCTGTAGGGATCTTGCGACGACTACATTCTACTCCGAAATATTCATCCCATTTTCCGCTGAAAATCCGCAGAGTTCCATCAAGATCAGAATTAGAGAATTATCGACATAATATCACAAAAATAATTTCTTGTATCAAATATCTCATCTCTTAAGGATAAAACGCTTGGGATAAGAATTCCACATAATGAGTCAGACCGTGTAAGAATCCTGTGAAATGTTCATGACTTGAACACAAATACTTGGCAATAAAGTGACAATTTCTTGCCTCAAGAAATCGCTTATTTCGTGTCAAACAGATGAGAAAATTACTAAAAAGACTAGAAGCTTCGATTCAGTGAATCATGGATCAGAGACATTCATATTGAATGAATACAGAACTTATACAGGGGAGAACCTTTAGATATTTCTAAAATATACACTGTTAGAAAATTCCTCTTGAAATTTCATGTGAAAAAGCTTGAAATTTCTAACAACGACAAAGTTAAATGAATTTTCTGTATATTTCTTCATTGACGAATCTGTTTTGCCCGGTGGCCTGGCGTAGTGGTTAAGGCCGTTGCCTCACAACGGATAGAATTTCTGTGGTTCCCGGTAGCTTAGTCGGTAAGAGTGCCCGGCGCGTATCTGGGAGACCCGGGTTCGATTCCCGGCTGGGTGAAGCGGAAATTTTTTCTCTCTAAATTCTAATTCTCTTAGAATTNAGTCTTGATCAATCGCCATATAGTCTCATCAGACTCGAAGCGATATAAAATAAGCATAAAAAAAAAAAATTGACGAATCTGTTAATTTCTTGAATGTTCAAGTAATTCTCGATTTTCAGGTCCACATGGCACTGGGAAACATTGAACATTTTGAAAATTCAGACAATAACTTCTCTGATTGCTCAATCGATTGAAAATTGAATTCAGTGGTGAAGTGGTAAACAGAGATAAGTCGACTTGTCTTCCAGTTGAGTTTTTGAGGAATAGTTCCGAATCTAAGGGAGATAGCGAAATTTTCGTAATAACATTTGTTGTAGCACTCAATCGGCTTCACAAAAAAGGTTATAACAAAAATTTTGCTATCTTCCTTAGATTCCGAGATATTGATTGAAAACTGGTCAATAGTCAAAATTGACTTATCTCCTTTTACCGCTTCGCTACTGAATTGTATATGATGTTCAATTTTCAGAAGAAGTTTGGCAATTCAAGCTTTCATTGAAAAATCGATGATTGTTTATTTTCAAGATGAATGAGAAATTTAGTGAACGCTTTCATTTGATATTGAATTCAACCTCACATCGAAAATTCATCTGATGCTGTCACTGGAATTTCAAGAAATTTCTAACAGTGTAACCCTCACTCTCAATCGCAATGAGTTTAAAGGAAAACTCAAGAAATGATTTTGAGTGCATCATCTCCACTTCTGACTTGACCTCAACTACTTCAATTCGGATGGCCCCCTCGGCCCATTAGCTTCTAATTTATTGTCTCTGCGCATTCTCGTCCAGAATGAACATGTCATTGACATCATTCACCTCCAACTATTCGATCCGTCTTTCTTCTCGATCGAGGAACCGAAGTTGAAGAGCAGCTGCCAAAAAAGCCCCATTGCCACGAGAGACTAGCTCCACGAAAATGTACCTAGAGTGACCCTACTCTCTTTTTTATTCCTTTTTGTCTTCACTGAGAGCTACCCCCATACTTGGTTCCCCCTTTTCCTCATAAGCGGATTACGTGGGATCCGAAACGACCAGAACAAGGCTCGATGGTGCGTTTGGGCAAAGGGACGTCGACTAAAAATTACGCTATCGCGACCTCACCACGCTCTTTCTCCTCCCCCGTCTCTCCCCCTTTCCTCTCGCCGCCCCCTGACACTAATACTTTTTCATGCCAACATCGTCACTATAAAATATATCTTAACTTTCAGACATCCCTCGAAGATGCGACGAGATAATATTTCTAGTCTGATAAATATATTTATGGTACTATTAATCGAGTCGTAAATTGCGTCTGATGCATGGTAACAACTGGTTTATTTATTGTTTCAGGTGTAGCGCAACGAAAACAGAGACGGGAACGAACAACATTCAGTAGAGCGCAGTTGGATGTGCTTGAAGGATTGTTTACGAAGACCAGGTATCCGGATATTTTTATGCGGGAGGAGGTGGCGATGAAGATCAATTTGCCGGAATCAAGAGTACAGGTAATTGGAGGTTAATGTTAATTAGTGGTTGGTGTGGGGGAGTGGCTTGAAGAAGGGGCGGTTGATTCACGGAGAAAATAGTTGGAGAAAAATTACAGAGCAAGTCATGACATGACTACTTTATTTTACCGTCCTAGGTTACAAACACGGAGAGAAATATTAGGTTCCAGGTTCGATTCCTGGCCGGGTAGAATGGTGAGATCTAACCATTTTTAAAGTCTTGATCAATCGCCATATAGTCTCATCAGACTCGAAGCGATATAAAATAAGCATAAAAAAAAAAAAAAAGAGATATTCAATAAAAATTACCAGAAAAAAGACGTAAAAATTACGTTTCGAAACGTAATCTGGGAGCGAAGTAAAATTCAATAAAAAGTGTCAATCGTCATGTAAATTCTACGATCTGTTCCGTAAAAATTACTCATCTTTTCGACACCTCACGGCTAGCCATGAGTCACCGTGAGGGGGAGATTTTAACAACACGTTCCGTCATTTTTCCGGAACTTTTCGTAAAAATTTATAAACATCCAAGAATTTTCATGTTCTGAGGCATAATAAGTCTTGAAGTTTCTGTTAGATTTTACAACTTCCAGAAAAATTACGTGACTTTTTCGTATTTTTTCGGTGACAGACCCGAAAATTTACTGAACGTTTCAGATTTATTCTCTTATATTCCTATAGAAATTCACTGAAAACGATTCTCGCTTGCGGATTACGTGAAATGTTCCGTAATTTTTCTTGAATATTTCTCTCCGTGAATATACTATTTTATCCGGGCGGTGTGCGGCCCAATTTCATGTAAATTAGTTGCTGTTGAAAAATTTGCTTGGAAAGTTATTCTTCAGTTGAATTTTCGTTTTACCATCGCACGTATATCCACCACATCGATGCAACTTTCGTATTCTGCATAAATCATTATTGTTCCGTAATACATCCCGCCCCCTCCCCTCCCAGCCCCCAGTTGACGATTCGTGCCGAGGCAATGGTTGTCGAGATTTGAGGTATTTACACAAACCTCGAACTACTCATCGTCTCACACCCTCTCCATTGTGTCCCTATTGCAACAGAACAGGGAGAGGCGTTGATAGATGCCTTGACCCCATGTGTCGTTTTCTCGTTGACATTTTTATTGCGGTCTCCGTAACATCTCCATTTCACAGGGGGTTTTATATGTATTAGGAGTGGGTGTAAAAGCCAGCCGATGTCTATCATATTTTTTTATGACAGTTGCGAGTTTTTTTTTCGAAATAACACTAGGTCATTTCGGTAGTTTAAAAAAATTTATGGAGGAAAAAAATCTCAATTTGATGGAGTAGATTTTTTTTTAATTTACGAGACTTGAAAAAAAGAAAAAATTAAATATTTTTGTTTTACAAATAAGAAATACATTTTTTTATTTTAAATTGTCTGAAAGTCTTGAGGACTCCTAATTGAGAAAAAACATTAACGAAAAATCAATCCCGAATTGCCAAAATTCAAAATTGTCAAAAATTTAAAAAAAAAATCGGAAAAAAATGGTTTTCTTTTACAAATTGGGTAAATTATTCTATGTCAAATTATCTAAAAGACTTTAAAATGAAAATTTCAAAGAAATTTTTCGAAAACAAAACAATTAAAAAACAGAGTCAATTCCATTTTCCCTCAATAAGAAAAATCATTCGACTTTGAACTAATCTTCCCAGCATACCTCTAAAATCGAGAAAATTCTGTCCCTGAATTTTCAACTTCCAGTTAAAAATGAAATCTATATTCAACAAATAAATCCCGAATTGACAAAATTCAAAATGGTCAAAGATTATCAAAAAAAATTCGGAGAGAATATGGAAGCAAAAAAATTGTTTTTTTTCCAAATTAGGTAAATTGTTCTATTTCAAAATTTCCAAGTTTTAAAGACTTCAAAATGAAAATTTCCAAGAATTTTCTTGAAAAAGAAAACATCTAAGAGGCAAATACAATTTCATTCGTTTTTCTAAATAAGAAAATTCATTACTTGAAGTTTCAACTTGTTGAAAAAAAAATCTATAGTCAAAAAATAAATCCCGAATTGACAAAATTCAAAAATAGTCCAGGATTTCCAACAAAATTTCGAGAAAATATGGCAACTAAAATTTTTTTTCCTCCTAATTACGTAAATTATTCTATTTCAAAATTTCAGTCTCGAAGACTTAAGAATGAAAATTTCCAAGAAATTGGAATTTAATTGAAAAAAAAAACCTCTAGGAAAGAAATACAATTTCATTTTTTTCTAAATAAGAAAATTCATTGGCCTTTGAAATACCCATCCCCGCATACCTCTAAAATCAAGAAAATTCATTCCCTGAATTCCCAACTCCCAGTTAATCCTCCCTGAATGGTTCACAACTAGAAAAGGACCACCGGGACACATCGCATAAGGGGAAAGAGGGAGGAGGCGTAAAAACGCGGATAGCACTACACGGGGTAATACACATCTCTCAGCGCCAACGTACGACCAATTGTATTGAAGGCTCTGTCGGGGGGCG